AGAACCAGGCCCTGAGGCACATTTTGACTGAAGAAGGGAATAGGGTTAGAGGACAGTGAGAAACAGCCGGAGCAGTAGCCAGGGAGCCAGGAAGCCTTTTAAGGCTTGGGGCTTGCCATGCAGGACTCTGTGGCCAGAAAGGACCCATTCTCTGGATGAATAAACTATGATCTGGAGTTCTCTAACAAGATGATGCCAATCCATGCACAGTCTTATCATTAACCAAAGCTGTCACTGCTTAATAGAAATATAATGTAAACCAGATCTATAATTTACCATTTTCTAGTAGCTGGATTTTTAAAAGTAAAAAGACACCTTAAACTAACAAAATAATATTGAATGTAAACTATAATTGAAAAATAAAAAATTAAAAAGAGTAAAAAGAAACAGGGAAATTAATTATAATAATATATTTTATTTAACCAATATATCCAAAATACTATCATCTCAACAGGTGATTCTAAGCATATTTCAAGTGATCAAAAGTTATGTGTAGACACTGGACTCTAAACCATGCTAAAGGCAAGCAAAAAAAGAATTTTATAACTACCGTGTATTTTCAAGGTCACTGAAGGCTTTTGTTACTGTAACATCTCACATTATAGTTTCTAGTATTACAGTTTACAGTTTAATCTCTTAAAGAACAATGTCTTATATTCTAGCTAGGATTCTGGCCTCTACCCCTCTGTCCATGATCAGAATAAATGTCCTCCTAAAAAACTATTTTGAGAAGTAAATAACTGGGTTCCTAGGAGGCACTCATCAAACAGTGGCTCATTTCGATTTTCCATTACTTCAGACATTACACCTTTTATTGCTTTTTTCTGGTGTAGCTGTTTAGCACCCAAGTCTCAGCTCTGGTGGCTTTTATTCTTCTCCCACAACTCTGCAACCGCTACCATCCACATTTCTTATCACACCCTGACATCTGAGATGCACAGACTCTGATCTTTTCCTTTCTATTTTTCTATAAGCTCCAAGTGTAAGCTCAAAGCATTACATAGGCCTGCTTCTCTGGTCTGGAGGTAATCTGGTGGAACAGAAATCCCTACTATTCCCAACACAAATAGTGGCACCTGACCAATGGCACCAGCCCCTCAGCTCTGTGTTCTGATACCAAACCCAGAGTAGGTAAGTTTCTGTCCCTGATGAAGTCTATCTATAATTAACTTAAACCCTACAGTCTGTAGAAACTCCAGTGTACTGATTTCCAGACCCAATCCTACAGTCCTTGGACTTAGAAAAGAGGGAGCAGGTCTATAAATGGACTGATAATTGCTGTGTGCACCATGGAACATAAAATTGTATCTTTCATTATCCCTGATATTTCCTTCATAAAGTGTCCTCACAACTGTAGCATATCAAGATCTACTATTAACCTTTTATGGTTTTCTGCATGAGCAAGTTGTCTCTGCAGTTAGGTAATAAGCAACTTGAAGGCAGGGATCAGACTTCTGTTGAAGAGTAAACCTCCCAGGGTCATTGTGTCTCCCACTTTGCTGTGCATGCAGGAGGCACTCAAGCAACACCTCCATAATTGCCTAATTACACATGGAGTTTTCTAGCCTGTTGAAACACAGGTGCACGGACCTAAGACCAAGTCAGCTTTCCAGGCAACAAACCCTCCTGTTTGCATCCAGGCCTGCAGGGACACTTCTGTTACAGCTGAGTTTGCACAGAAAGGCTCTATAACCCCTGGCAACCCCTCACAGCCCAACACCCCTTCCACAGAGAACCGAATCACCTCCGTCCCAGACCGATTTCCTGCTGCCTGACCTACTGCCTTTCCCATGACACACACACCGCAAATCGCAAGGGACGACGACAGCCTTTGGGCGTCTTGGAGCCTAAAACCCCTCAAGATCCCAAGTAGTAATTCTCCCAATACAGAATATAAATATTGTAACAAGCAGGGGAGGGGGAGGAGGGACGGAATACCCAAGCGAAATTATCCTTTTCAAAATCAACCCCATTGTAGCAGGCACCAGTTTTCCTGAGCCCCCGCTGGAGGCCGGATTGGGCTCCGCTAGGTCTGGAGTGCTCGAGGATGCAGAAAGCAGTTGGGGCCCGCACACATCCCCTGCTTACCACCATCACCACTTTGGGAGTGGGGCCCTTAACCTCCCGCTGTACGATGCCAAACCGCTGGCTGTACATTTTCGAGTCTCCTCTCGGGATAGTGCAGCGTCTGCCGCAGTTCCCTAACGGTGCAACCGGTGGAACCAGCTTCGGAGACACAGATGTCCCGTTGCCATGGTGAGGCTCGTGGGGCAGGTGGGTGGGGCGGAAGTTGATCCTGTCACCATGGTGACCATAGACGCTGGGACTTGCGACTTCCTCTGGAAGCGGATAAGCTGAGGGGGGGGAGAGGGGGGAGGCCTCACCAAGCCCTTGATCAGGTGTCCTGCAGACCTCGCCCTTTTCCTCTAGGGTTCATCTGAATAGTAGAAAAAAGCCTCCTTTACCCGAAGTGAAGTCGAAGATCTAATAATATTCCAATTGGCTTTGCTATTTATATCCTGTAACCAGTCGGTCTAAAAGCACGAGAAAGGTTAGTGGACATTTTATGGGAAGGTTATTAAATGTTGTGGCCATCCTAGGATAATCTTGATAACGTAAATCATCACAAGACCTCCTTATATATTTTTGTAGTTCTTTACAGTAATTTGCAAGGTATTTTCACACATAGATGTTTGAGCCTCACAAATATCTTAAAGGTTAACGGAACAGCAGGTATTATCCTCATTTTACAATAAAGGCTGAGAGAGCCGAACTGCCTTGTCAGCCTGCCCAACCAGTAATGATAAATCTGTTACTAATGAAATCTTATTACTCTGGGCACAAACCAAGAGTTAGACTTGGGGTACTCTAGGATGGGGGGCAGACCAGATGGGCTGGTAGTGCAGTGATAGGAATTACTGGGCACCATAAAAACCAGGAGTCTGAGTCAAGGGTCACATTGGACCAAAGTCAGGATGTGTGGATTAGATGTGCAAGTAAATCAGGCCCTGAGAATCCAGAGCCCAGGGAACCTGGAAGGGGCCCTCAGCACAGGTGGAGGCTGTATTTCCAGCCAAGAGCAATGTCGTCAATACCTTAAAGCCAATTAAGATGACACTTTGCTGCTCTCTAAAGTGGGGTGGACATAGAACACTAGAATATATAGATTACAGAAAAAAATCAGTACCTAGCCAGTCACTGCCATGTACAATAACCAGAGCACAATTATTGTGCATACCATTTCAAGGCTTCAATTTACTGTAAATTAACATTCCTTAATCACTTGTAATCCACCCACTTCGGATTTTGTATATGGTACATTTCTAGATTTGGATTCCATTTCCTGAATTGCTGGTTCAGCTTTTCAGCCACAAAATAATGTTTCTTCTCTTTTAATAATCTTTTAAAATAATTTTTTTCCTATACTGCTTCTTCTTTCAATTGTAGTTCAGTAAAATACTCATTTTCATTTACTGCTAAGAGTTTATGTAGCCTGAAACAAACAGAGAAAGAAATAAGTTAGATGGTTGTCTCGGATCCCTGGACCGAGTCCTGAGGGCCAGCTAGTTCCTTGACCTTTCAGTCCCACGGGTGTCTGGTCACCAGCTGGTCTCTGGACACCAAATCCTTGGGAGGGAATGAAAACACCCTCGGCCAGGCAGGGGCGTTTGGGAAAAGCAGCTGAGACTTGGGGGTGCCTCAGGCACCCCTGAGGTCATAGAGCCCAGAGGATCCCGTCCAAGTGAGTTTTGGTGACAGGGGGAAGCTACCCCTGGGTGACACCCGGCTGCCCTGGAACGTCCTAAGCGTTGGTCCTGAGAGTGTCGTGCCGCACCCTCATCATAGGCAAGCCCCGTAATTTAACTCCAGTTCGGTTTTGCCTGTTTTACCACAATTTGAATCAATTTCCCTTATCAGGGCAGAGGCCACACCCCTGGTCCGCCAGGTCCTGCAGGGGTGAGGGGCAGAGTTCCTGGGGCCCAGGTGGGATGAACGTGGTCCCATGCCCAGGTGGGCCTATTCTGAGGGTGGAGGGGCCAGGCTTGACGCGGTGAGCCTGGGCATTCAGCCAAACCCTCATGGAGGCCTAATAGAAGTTACTTGCCGAAGGTCCTTGGTCAGAACCTGACCTTTATCTTGCCACCCACTATCCCACTTTCTCAGAGGCAGTCAACGCTGTTACCATCATCATGACATTCCCAGAAGATACACTAAATATATGAATCAGTAAATAGGACAACAAAAATCATTTAAAAATAATTTTAAAATAGAACAGATTAGAGACAAAAACTATATTATTTCCAATTCCTATTGGGCCCCAACAAGGTTCATACAAGGGCTATCCTCTTGATAGTTTTCTGAATTCTACAAATTTCATGAAAGTTGGAAATCCATTCACCATTTGCAATACATATTGATGTATTTAATAAAATTGCATGGACTATATCGTTTTCATCCCTGTACCCCAGTATTAAGTTCTCAATAGTGACAAAGGGCTGAGACCCACATTTCTGCTAGGTGGGTTTGACGGAATTTCTGTGTTGCTGGGTCACCATGAAATCCATGGTCTTCCTTCCACTTTGCATTTCCAGCAATGTAGTTATGGAGTTATCCTCAGGTTAAGTAGTGAGACCCTTTGGAGCGGATTCCTGACAGGGTGGCTTTGTGATGCGTCACGTTGACTAGCCTAGGTTTCCCAGAACTCCCTTCCCCATACGCTTCCGGTTAGAATGGGCCACAAGAAACATTTTATGTGCTAACTGCAGGGGAGAAGTGAAACAGCAGCATGTTGTTTTTAAGCTTTGACAGTTGGTACAGGAGCACCAGGCACTGTTGCAGTTCACACGTTGTCATTTATCTGCTGGCTCGCCTCCTAGGTGTGAAGTAACAGGTCTGAGGCTGCTCCACCTCTCCAGGATCCTCCTTCAGCTTCTCAAATTCCTAGGCCAGGTGCATATTCAACTCTGTTGTGAAGGGCACCAGTTTCTTCTGCAGGACACCCACGTCATCGAAGTTGGAGGTGGTGAGTGACATGGGTTCCAGGCCATCTGCAGGGGGGTCCAGCTTGTGCTTGTGGGCGCCAATGTGTCCTCGGTCTCCCACATTTACATCCATCTTCCCTTCCCGAATGCCTGCCCTGCAGACTTCAAGCTCCAGCATTAGATGCAAATACCACAGCCTTACAGAGACTGTTTAACCTGCTCCCACAATTGCGTATGGTCAAATACCTATAAATCCCTTAATATACATATATATATACATATATACATATATATAAATATACATACATACATATATATAAAATCTTTATGTCAGTGGTGCTGCTTTTCTAATTGTACCCTGATACACACGATAACCAGATTCTTATTTCATCAGTCAGAATACCAATCAAATCAATTTCACATAGGACATCATTGTCAAAATTACCAGCATTCTAGGGTTGGGTGGTTGGATCCTGGGAGGAGCAAAACAATAGCAGAAAATTATCCAGTCGACTGGCTGAAGTAGGTGGGACAGGCAAAGGAAGGAGCAGAAGAGGGTGGCAGAGAGCTGTATCATGAGTTACAGTAGGGAAATAGCTAATCTACATCTGAATTATTAAAGCTGCAAGGCTGGAACTAGAGTAAGGCAAGGGATGCACAAAAGCTACAAAACTTAAGGGGCACACACTCAGTCCCGACCTTGTAAAGCTGGCTAAGGAATGATCTCATGTCTCATCACTTTTAGCACTATGCAAAATATTGGACAGTGAGGCAGGCTGAGCCAAGACTGGCCCTTTGACAGGACTTGAAGCAGAAACTCATACTCCTAGTAGACAGGCTGAGAGCAGAAACCAAGCATGAATGTCAAGGGGCAGGGGACACAAGTGGTCAAGAAAGATGAGCCAAGCTGACAGCTCTACTTCGAAGACTGCTTTGGCTGAAGAGGAGGAGGGAGGGAAACGCAAAATGGACAGCAGCCAGTGTGGAAGGATACCCTTAGGGTTTGAGGAATCTTACGCAACCCCAGAGACCTGGAAAGAACCCAGTCTCTGGATGCACAGGTGCTCTAACAAGGTGACCCAAGCACACAGCCTTGGCACCCCTAGAGACAGCAGTGTAAAGGATTTGTTATAATGCTTAAAATTAATCCACCTTGTTTTTGGAGTTGCTGGAAACTTGTTACTATATAATTACACATTACTGAACTCAGGATTACAGTTTATGGGTTAGTGGCTTAAAGAACAAGGCTTTTACATTAATTAATGGTTTAATTCTAGACTCTATCAATACTAGCTGTTTGACATTGGACAAGTTATTTAATTTCAGAGTCTGTTTTTCCATCTGCAAAAATGGGCACAGTCAGTCTTCCTGAAAAGACCATTCTGAGAAATAAACTGGGTCCATAAGGAAGAACTCACCAGCTTGCAGTTCCTTTCCTTATTTATTCACATTACATTTTCAATTGCTGTCTCCCTGAGGAAATGTTTAGAGACACTGCCAGGTCTCACGCAGAAGCCATTTAATAGTTATGAAGAGGGCTTGTTTATGGTGGCTCTAATTCTATCCCCCACCCTAACACCAGTTCCTCCACCCCTAACAGTCAAACTTCTTGTCATGTTCAGGCTTCTGGGATTTGCACCATTTAGAGCAGATGCACCAACTTTCTACTTTCTCTTCCTTTCTTCCTTACTTCCTCTATAAGCTCAAAGGACTGAACAGGCCTGCTCCTCTGCTTTGGTGGTGTTTCCAGTTCCCACTGATTCCTACACAAGCCCTGGCAATCGCTTTACGGTCCAGCCTCTGAGTAGGTCAGTGTTGTCTCTCATAAAGCCGGTCTGTAAATTTCACCTTGAATCCTACAGTCTGCAGAAGCCTCCAGTCTACTGCTTTCTAGTTCCAGGTTTTTTAAGGTCCTTGGACCTAGAGAAGAGGGAGCAGGTCTGTATGTTGAATGTTTGCTATGTACAAAATGGAGCATCACAAAACCATTTCCTACTCTTCTTTCCCTTAATTATTTCTTCTCTCTCTTCTAAAATCTTCCATTACAAACAGCACATCACTCCCTTCTTTGTTATATGTAATGATTTCATGCATAGGGAAACTGTTTCCCCAGTTAGATTATAAGCTCCCTGAAGGCAGGAATACTCCTGAAAGACAAGCCTTCCATGGTCATTGTATTCACTGCTGTTCTCACCCACACTGCAGTGTATCCAGCAGGGACTTAGTCAGTAGCTCTGTAATTGCCCAAGTGCAGATGGAGGGACTTCTGGCCTGCAGAAACTAGTTTGTAGGAACAAAAGAACCCAGGTACTGAGGTCAATAGTTTATGTTGTCTATGTCTGGGGCTCTGTGTGGGGCCTGTCAACATTCTGCAGGAAGTAGCATTCCCCGTCCTCTCACTATCCCAGTCCTTATAGGCACTTAGCCTTCATCCTGTTGCCAGGCGTGCAGGGACAGTTCTGCATAGCAGATGAAACTGTTAATAACCTCAACAGGCCCAGGAAAGGCTCAAGAAACATAGCCTAACCCCCTCCACAGAGGATGCTCCAGGAGGTACAGGACTAGTCCAAGATCACACACTTGTGTGTCAACCCAGATCTCCTGCTTATCCACCACTGTCCAGCCACCTGGTCATCTCTTGGAGACTCTAAAGGCATTGAAGACCCCAAATGATGATTCTCTGAGTACAAATTTAAAGTCTGAATCCTGCTGGTTTTTTCTTAGGGACCAGGCTTTCTTTCCTTTTTTCTTTCTAATCTCATCACAGGACACCAAGTCCTCTCCCTTGACACACCCCACCCCCCTCAAGATAAGCCCTGACCTAGACCTCAGGAAATCTCTTGAGGCCTACACATACCTCCTCAATGATCATGATCAACACAGTGTGGGGACTTTACCTCCTACTGCACCATGCCAAAATACTCAAGGCTCAAAACTCAAGGCCCACATCTGACCGGAACCCACCCCATCCCCACCCCTCACTATACGGGGCACACCTTGGCAACCAGACTGCTGTGTCCCGAAGACGGGTTCCACCCAGGCTGAAAATCTCCGTGATCTGGGGAAGAATTAACATCATGGGTCAACGTGGCTGGTTGGGTTAAAACTAGGTCAGGGCAGGGTGCGGTGTCCCCGAGCACTGACCACTGGCGTGCCAGCCCCTCCTGCCTCCTCTGGGGCCGAATCAGAGGCTGAGTCATCCTTGCTCTTCTCTTTGTCCTCCTCAGGGTCAGGTGGCTCTTGCTTCACAAGTGGCAGGCCTGAGTCTACTGCCTGGGAGAGGTGGGAAATAGGCAACAGTCAGAAAAGCAAGGTTGGCCTAAGGAAAGAGTCTCTTATTGGCCAACCTGTCACTGTGCTCAGAAACCCCACTTCTATCACACTTCAGCACAGAAAAACCATCTGTCTAAAAAATTTTTTTCCATTCCCCACAGATTTCCATTTTTTCTATTAGCTGGGCAGCAAAGCAGGCAAAGCCTGGGGAAGGCAGAGTAATTCTGTGGAAAGGCTGCAATCAGCACACCCATTGCTCTGCTCAAAGAACCACATCACGGCTCACCATCACTCTGCTCACAGATCACCCATCACTGAGCCCCACCTTGCTGGGGCAGCCTCGCAGCAATACGGGAGAGGTCAGGATGGCTCTGCCTGGCATCCAGTCTTCCTGAGCATCCACCTTCTCTTGCTTCACCTGGGGTAAGACCACAACCCAACTCAGGCCAGGGCACTGGGCCCCCTGTGTGAAGGAGGATTGCAGCAGACTTGGTCCCAGCTTCCCGGAACAAGGCTGGATAGGGTTGGGAAGGGCAGGATGAGGTGGGGCCCTCACCTGCAACAGGGGTTCTGTGGAAGCTGGGGCAGGGCCAGGTACCTGCACGGGACTGCTTGCACCCTCCCGTAAGAACACAAGGTCAGTGCCAGGTGGGGGCAACACAAAGCCATTGCCTGCTTCCTGTTTCACTGGAGTCTGGGCTTGGTTTGGTCGGGCTGTGGGCGTGCCCGAGGGTGTCTTCAAGGTATGGCCCACACGGGGCCGTCGAGTAGATCCAGGCCTCTTTCGACGAGGGTAAGGTGGGGGTGACACTGCCCCATCCTCAGACCCTGACCAGACACTTGGCAGCAGGCGCTTCTGTGAGAAGAGGTTGGGTGTTATGGCCACCTGATGTAGTGACCTGACCACACTACCCTCCCCTGACCAACAAGCCTGCGGATCCCCCTATTAGTACCAGCAGAAAATCTGCTTATATGTGAGCCCCTTATCACTGAGCCTGTTTGTCTCCTGTTACCAGTGCCATTGCCACCCAAATTCCTCATTTACATCGGCTCGATGTCTACTAATCCTTGACCAAACCCACTGCCCCACTCACCCCTCTGAAGTTGCAAGACCCATCTGGCCTGTCCCACCCACATACCAGGTCTGTCCACCATTCCCAGGCACTGGGGGACCCGGCCTAACCTATTGCGCCCACCCGACCCTTCCAGCCCCACCCACCATGGCAAACTGCAGGCATTGGCGCCAACGACACTTCTGGCGCTTCTGGTTACTGCCCCCGAATTTGGGCTTGTCGAAGCAGAAGTCACAGTGGCCACAATCCATCCGTCGCAGGCAGGCTGCACAGGCCCCACACTTGCGGTTCTGCCGGCGGTTTGTGTAAGGTTGCTGGGGGACGGGAGACAGGGGTACTGTTGTTAAGACTCGTACAGCACTGTTCCTGCTGCTCCTCCACTAGCCCCATGGGAGGGAACTGGACGCACAGTAGTCTTAGCCTGACTCCCACTAGTCACATGTCAGTGTCTGCTAGTCACACCACCAGGCACTATCACTGTACAAATACCTCTCGATACGATTAGCACTGTGACTACTCCAACACAGTATCCATTACTCTGTCTGCCAGTCCCCACTAGCTACCAAGACAAGGTCTCTGACCTCCCCACCTCTAGTAGGATTCTGCTGACCCTCGATTAGCACCTACCACACCTGCTATGTCTACTCACCCTATGTGAACTCTGGTCATTGTGGCAGCTTTTTCTCTTTTAGCCCCACCAGAATCTGACCTTAGGTACTATCACTGCACCTGTTGATCCCATATTAGTCTCTCCCCATTGTCTGCTTATCCCATACTGGTACCCATTACTCTGCCTTGCTCTTCCCCTATTAGGCCCATTGCAGCATGTGCTTCTTTGGGCTTAACCAAGTGCCTTAGGAGAGTCTAGACTTGTCCAGGTAAGATGGGGCCACTCACTAGCTCGTCCTCGTCTACACAGTAATAGATGAACTCAGCAGGTGATGAGGGGCCCAGGGCTCTGGGGTGCTGCAGAGGCAAATGGGGTGGGGTCATGTTAGGTACTGGGTAAGATGAGGGTTGTGCCTTCCCCCACCCTCTAGCGCCTCACCAGCTCTGGGGACTCTGGAGGCTGAGGCGGAGGAAGCGGAGGTAGTGGCTGGGTTCTGGGACGCCGCCGGGCAACCATCTTGGAGTCGCAGCCTCCCCTGCGGCGGCTACGCTTACCCTAGGAGAAAGCCAAAGAAGTAGATCAGTTTAGGCACGGTGGCACCCGGCAGACACAGGACCCTCCCCCCAAAGGAATGCAGAAAGCATGCATGGGACAGACAGGCAGTGTGGGACGGGGCACTCACAGCAGGGGGAGCCACAGCTAGGGGAGGGCGTCGTTGACATCGCTGATGGTGGCGACGCAGGCGATGAGCAAGATGCTGGCAGACAGGGGCAGGTAGGTAGGGCCAGGAAGGTGAGAGTAGGGTAAAGGAGAAAAGAAGACATGAGGTGGGCAGGGCCAGGTTGGGAGGAAGCAGCAGCAAGTTCAATAGCAGAATGAGCTCTGCCCCAGCCCTGGCCCCACCAGCACCGGTCCCTCCAGCCTGACTCACTCGTAGGCAGCGCCGCTGGATGCACCTCCACTGGCGCCTGAGACCAGGGCGGGGAGGGCGAAGGCAGACTCGGCAACGACCACAGTCCTCTCGGGTCTGACAGCCCCGGCATACTCCACACCCTCGGCTCTGTGGGGGGGCCAGAGGCATGATGCAAGGGGCTAGGGCTAGGAGGGCCAGGGGCTAGGGTTAGCCTTGGGCCCACCCCACCTGCCCAACCCACCTTTTCCACAATCCTGAGGCACCGTCTCCGCTCACACTTGCAGAACAGCCCTGAGGCCACATCATGGGGCAGCTGCAGGAGGCAGGTGGAACAGGCCCCGCAGTCCTCCGTTACCCGGCAGGCTGCACACTCTCCGCAGCCCACACGCTGCAAGGAATCGGTGGGGCAAGGTCACAGACTTAAGCAGAGTGACTCCAGGAGCACTGCCCCTCAAGAGTCTCCTGACCCTATGTTAGCTCCCATCACCATGTCTGCTAGTCCCCCATTTGCTTCATCACTATACCTGATAATTACTGATTAGCCAACATCATTGAGGCCATCACAATGTCTACCATTCCCGTTAACCTCATCTACTAATATCCTATTAACACCCCTTACAGTCTGCTGACTGCAGCTAGCTCCCTACGAAATAACTAACACCACACGGATCCATCACCATTCCTTGAGACCCTCCCCTTCTCCCCTACCTCCCATTACACCTTGCTCCCACCACCCACTTGTGAGGAGGAGGTAGGTCATGCTTACCTTAAACATCCTCTGCTCCCGGTTGAAAGCAATTCTCTGCGCTGGGGGGGAGGGGGTTGGGGGGAGGAAGGTAAGAAGAGATGAGGAAAGGGAGCATTAGATATCTGACCTCACCCAGTGCCTTTGCCCTGACATTCACCATTCAATGTCCAGCCTGACACTGGTGTCCTAGACTGACACCAGAACTATTCCAGCTCCTATCTCCCCATGTCCTAGGGGCCACTCACCTCTGCAGTCCTTGCACAATGTCTTGAGCCGCTGCCTTCCGGTACCATCCCCTGAGAAGCTGATTCCACAGTTCTCACAGTGCCTGGGATAGGAAACATGAGTGTGGGGCCCTGAGTATACCAACCACAACCTTCACCCACTTGGCTCACTTTAGGCCAACACTCACCCAGGTGCAGGGAGCGAAGCTGGGGCTGTGTCAGCATCAGCCTTGGTTTTAGCCCCTGGGGCCTCCTTTCTGACCTCAACCCTCTTGGATCCAACCTGACATTTTCGAGCTTTAACAGGCTTCGAAGGCTTCTTCCGCTTCCTGCTGGGGAGAGCCAAGGATTGGGCCTGGAAGTAGGAGCAAGGGCAGGAAGAATGTAGGTCAGTGGGTGGGTTTTAGGTGGCTAAGCCCCCCTTGCATCTGGGTACCCCACATTGTGTAGCACCTTAGGGGCTGGATAGCACAGGATGCCTTGTTTGAAGTCGAAGAGGGTGAGGTCGCACGAAGGGCCCAGGTATCGAATCAGCTCAACTTTGCTTCGGATCCTGTCTCCTGTGGGGCTGGAGGTGGGCCAGAAGTTATTGGTACACAGGTGAAGCCATTGCCACTCCACCCACACAACTCTCCCCCTGAGAGGTGGACAGGCCTGCGTGGAACAGAGAAGGTAGCCTGGATCTGCTTGGCCAGGCTCTACCCCAACTAATCCTCAGTAGCAAGAATATTAAAGGTGTATAAATAGCAAAAGATATACAAACATTAATTAATATAAATGCAAATGAACGTGCATGTATTTACAACATATAATACCAGTGGTATTCTATATAAGTTAAAATAAACACAAATAGGAACACAAATACATTAAGTAAAATGTAAATGTGTTAGCAGTATATACTAAATACACAGACAAACAAACTTATGTGAGAAACAAATGTTTAAAAATCTACATAGCCCTGGCCAGGTAGTTCAGTTGGTTAGAGTGTTGTCCCGATATGCGAAGGTTGCAGGTTCAGTCTCCAGTCAGGGCACATACAAGAAGCAACCAGTGCCTCGGCCGGCATGGCTCAGTGGTTGAACATCAATCTATGAACCAGTACATCACAGTTCAATTCCTGGTCAGAGCACATGCCCAGGTTGCTGGCTCGATCCCCAGTGTGGGGCGTACCGGAGGGAGCCGAGCAATGATTCTCATCACTGATATTTCTATCTCTCTCTTCCTCTCTGAAAGCAATAAATAAAATCCTATCTAATAATAGAGAAACATGGTAATTAACCGTAACTTCACTACCCTTTCCATTGGCTAATTAGCGAGATATGCAAATTAACTGCCAACAAAGATGGCGGCCGGCAGCCAGGCAGCTGAAGCGAACAGGAGGTTTGCATGCTCCAGTGAGGGAGGAAGCCAAGGTTCCCCGCCTGCCGCCGCCCAGCTCTAAGCTCCAGAGGCAACAATATTGCAATTATAGAAGCTAAACAAACCCAGAAACCTGCTTTCAGCCGCCAGCGGGCTCAGAACTTAGAGCGCCAGTGATGGCAACAGAGTTTCAATTATAGAAGCTAAACAAACCCAGATATCTGCTTTCAGCCAGCCACAGCCTCAGAGCTGGAGCTGGCTCTCAGCTCCAGTGACAGCTATAGAAGGTAAATAAATCCTAGAAAAAAAAAAGAAATAAAAAGAGGCTGGGAGCTTCAGCCTGAAAAGGGCCCTCAGCTCCTCACCCAGACTGGCCAGGCACCCCAGTGGGGACCCCCACCCTGAAGGGGGTGTGATCAGCTGCAAACAGCCATCAGCCCGTGATCCAGGCTGGTCAGGCACCCAAGCGGGACCCCCACCCTGATCCGGGACACCATTCAGGGCAAACCAGCCGCTCCCACCCATTGACCAGGCCTCTATTCTATATAATTAAAGGGTAATATGCAAACTGACCCTAACAGCAGAAGGACTGGGAATGACTGGTCACTATGACACACACTGACCACCAAGGGGCAGACACTCAATGCAGGAGCTGCCCTCTGGTGGTCAGTCGCTCTCACAGCGGGGAGCTCTGCTGGCATACACATACATATAAAAGCCAGGCTGATGGCTGCCAGTACAGCGGCGGTGGCAGGAGCCTCTCCTACCTCTGCAGCAGCGCTAAGGATGTCAGATTGCTGGCTTAAGCCATCAGTCAAACATCCCCCGAGGTCTCCTGGACTGCGAGAGGGTGCAGGCCAGGCTGAGGGAACCCGAGTACACGATTTTCAGGCCTCTAGTGTGTGTGTGTGTGTGTGTGTGTGTGTGTGTGTGTGTGTACATACATATACTAGAGGCCCAGTGCACAAAAATTTGTGCACTCGGCGGGGGGGGGTCCCTCAGCCTGGCCTGTGCCCTCTCGCAGTCTGGGACCCCTCAGGGGATGACCACCTGCTGGCTTAGGCCTGCTCCCCGGGGGATTGGGCCTAAGATAGCAATCAGACATCCCTCTGGCAGTCTGGCAGCCCTCGGGGGATGTCCACTTGCCAGCGGGGAGCAGGCCTAAGCTGCAGTCGGACATCCTTAGCGCTGTTGAGGAGGCAAGAGAGGCTCCCACCACCACCGCTGTACTGGCAGCCATCAGCCTGGCTTGTGGCTGAGCAGAGCTCCTCCCATGTGAGAGCGCCCTGACCACCAGAGGGCAGCTCCTGCATTGAGCGTCTGCCCCCTGGTGGTCAGTGTGTGTCATAGTGACCAGTCATTCCGTCCTTCTGCTGTCAGGGTCAGTTTGCATATTACCCTTTTACTATATAGGATAGAGGCCTGGTGCACGGGTGGAGGCCGGCTGGTTTGCCTGAAGGGTGTCCCAGATCAGGGTGGGGGTCCCGCTTGGGTGCCTGGCCAACCTGGATGAGGGGATGATGGCTGTTTGCAGCTGGTCACACCCCCTTCAGGGTGGGGGTCCCCACTGGGGTGCCTGGCCAGTCTGGGTGAGGGGCTGAGGGCCATTTTCAGGCTGGTGGGTGACTGAAGCTCCCAACCTCTCCTTTTTTCTTTTTTCTTTTTATTCTGGGATTTATTTACCTTCTATAGCTGTCACTGGAGCTGAGAGCCAGCTCCAGCTCTGAGGCCCAGCTCCAGCTCTGAGGCTGTGGCTGGCTGAAAGCAGGTATCTGGGTTTGTTTAGCTTCTATAATTGAAACATTGTTGCCATCACTGCCACTCTAAGCTCTGAGGCCAAAGCTGGCTGAAAGCAGGTATCTGGAGCTTGTTTAGTTTCTATAATTGCAACTTTGTTGCTTAGAGTGTAGCTTAGTGCAGGGCGAGGCAGACGGGGAACATTGGCTTCCTCCGTCACTGGAGCAAGCAAGCCTCATGTCCGCTTCAGCTGCCTGGCTGCCGGCCGCCATCTTTGTTGGCAGTTAATTTGCATATCTCGCTGATTAGCCAATGGGAAGGGTAGCAAAGTTACAGTTAATCACCACGTTTGTCTATTATTAGATAAGCTATATATATGTAACCAATGAATGCAGAAATAAGTAAAACAACAAATCTGTTTCTCTCTCTCCCTTTCTCTCTCTCTCAAATCAGTCAATAAAACATACACATACATATAAAAATGTGTCCATAAATATACATACAAATAGATGTGTAAACAAATAAATGCAACTACATACAAAACAAAGTGTAAGTAACTGATGTTAGGACACAATACTCCACAGGTCTCTCGCAGTTCTGCATGCTTTGCAAGAAAGGCACAAACTGTCCTTTGCTATTAACTGTCTTTTCAAAGATGTTTGTACAGTAACTAACCTCGGGAGGTAAGAGGGTCTCCTAGAGCAGTGGTTCTCAACCTTGGCTGTACATTAGAATCACCTGGGAATTTTTTTAAAATCCTGATTTCTGGGCCTCATCATCCGGAAATTCTGTTTCTTTGTTACTAATGTTGTGGCCTCACCCCATAAAAAGAAACAGAATTTCTGGAGGATGAGGCCTAGAAATCAGGATTTTAAAAAGATTCCCAGGTGATTCTAATGTGCAGCCAAAGTTGAGAACCACTGTTCTAGAGCAAAAGGAAAACATCCTTACTGTCCTAAACATCAGAAATGATCGGATTCCTTAAGCTCAGGGTTCTTACCTACAACACAACCCAGTGCATGTGCAGCACTAGTTAGCCTTCTTCATTTCACTCTGTCAGAACTGGCTTTCAGGGAATCATTCTGGATATTGCTATTGCTAAGAGTAATAAACTCTTTCATCTCTGACCCAGGAATCTCATATCTCCCAACAGCATCCACAAAACTGTGACATTCACTGATACTGAACTTTGATTCACTGATATTGAACTCAATTGTTATCTTAACCTAATTAGGGTAAAATCTCTGATCCTTTACAGTTCTTGATAATTGCACTTACAATTATACACGTTGAAAGTTTTATATGCTAAAAATATGTTAATAAGTGTAAAATTAAATATAAGTAAATGTAAATATATCTGTAATTTTATTATTCCTCCAGAAAAAAACAACTTAGACAAAGTTCAGGAAGAGAGTAGAAAATTTAATAACTAGTATATCACAAATATATCTTAAATCCTTATACGTAAATTGTTTATAAGTATGTATGTTTATGAATTATAGTCAAATTTCATTACTCCTGGTAGTTATGTTCTATAACAGCAGTGGGCAAACTATGGCCCGCGGGCCGGATCCGGCCCGTTTGAAATGAATAAAACTAAAAAACAAAAGACCGTACCCTTTTATGTAATGATGTTTACTTTGAATTTATATTAGTTCACACAAACACTCCATCCATGCTTTTGTTCCGGCCCTCCAGTCCAGTTTAAGAACCCATTGTGGCCCTCGAGTCAAAAAGTTTGCCCACCCCTGTTCTATAAAGTCAGCTTGAACACTGCATTAGTGAATATAGAACCACTGCTCCTAGTAGAACTACAGGTTGGGTTCCTATGAGCCTGTGGTCACAATATTTTTGTAAACTAATCCTATGTAAGCTTTTTTAATGTGTGTTTCTGTGTAAAGACACCCTAGTTAATATATTCTTCTTATAAATAACTAACTGTGTGGTCTTTGAATGATGTAAGGCCAGGAGCTTTGAAGCCCATCTGCATTATATAGCTTTCTTTGCCAATGTCCTTGTAACTCAATCCAGTCTCATCAGCATTGAAAATCTACTCTTCTGTATAGCTGCTTTCCCACAGAACACTTGGCAGGTATTTTTTAAAATCTTCCGCAGACTTCTAATCTGCAGGACCTGCCTTGCATGCAAATTTAACATTTTTCACAATATATCACCTTTGAAAAGTTTGAGATAGCCAGCACTAGTGGCAACAGGTTTAACATTTTCCTAAACTGGAACAACATGATTGTCACTGTTCTGCGCTTTCAGCCTCATAATGCTGCCCACTACACTTTATTGGTCAGCATCTCATAGAGCCACACAGTTAGCCAGTCTTCCATCTTTTCCTTAGCTTCATCACATACTATAGATATTACTTTCGCGCTTTCTGAAGCAGCCTCATGTACAAATTGGCAAATTTCCTCTTCTTTTTCTATATGTACCACACTTTTGATTCACTGACATTGAACTCACAGCTGACAATACTGCAACTCAAACCTGAATGAAGTTTATTTAACAATAGAGGCCTAGTGCACGAAAATTTGTGCACTCGGGGGGGTTCCTCAGCCCGGCCTGTGTCCTCTCGCAGTCTGGGACCCCTGGGGGGATGTCCACCTGCTGGCTTAGGCCCGCTCCCCGGGGGATTGGGCCTAAGCTGGCAGTCAGACATCCCTCTGGCAGCCCAGGAGCCCTTGGGGGATGTCCACTTGCCAGCAGGGACCAGGCCTAAGCTGCAGTCAGACATCCTTAGCGCTGCTGCAGAGGCAGGAGAGGCTCCCACTGCCACCACTGTGCTGGCAGCCATCAGCCTGGCTTGTGGCTGAGCAGAGCTCCCCCTGTGGGAGCACACTGACCACCAGGGGGCAGCTCCTGCATTAAGCATCTGCCCCTTGGTAGTCAGTGTGTGTCATAGTGACCAGTCAGTCCCAGTCATTCTGCTGTTAGGGTCAATTTGCATATTTCCCTTTTATTATATGCCTGGTGCACGGGTGGGGGCTGGCTGGTTTGCCCTGAAGGGTGTCCCGGATCAGGGTGGGGGTCCCACTGGGGTGCCTGGCCAGGCTGGGTGAGGGGCTGAGGGCCGTTTTCAGACTGACCACACCCCCTTCAGGGTGGGGGTCCCCACTGGGGTGCCTGGCCAGCCTGGGTGAGGGGCTGAGGGCTGTTTTCAGGTTGGCCACACCCCCTTCAGGGAGGGGGGTCCTGCTGGGGTGCCTGGCCAGCCTGGGTGAGTGGCTGATGGCTGTTTGCAGGCTGGCTACAGCCCCTTCAGGGTGGACGTCCCTGCTGGGGTGCCTGGCCAGCCTGGGTGAGTGGCTGATGGCTGTTTGCAGGCTGGCTACAGCCCCTTCAGGGTGGACGTCCCTGCTGGGGTGTCTGGCCAGCCTGGGTGAGGGGCTGATGACTGTTTGCAGACTGGCCACAGCCCCTTCAGGGTGGAGGTCCCCGCTGGGGTGCCTGGCCAGCCTGGGTGAGTGGCTGCTGGCTGTTTGCAGGCTGGCCACAGCCTCCAGCCACCCAAGCTCCCAGTGGAGGCTAGCTGGAAGCAGGTATCTGGGATTTATTTGTCTTCTATAATTGAAACTTTGTTGCCATGAGCAGAGGCCACAGCCAGCTCAGGGCTGGCGGGAAGCTTGGCTTCCTCCATCGCCCAGGCAACCAAGCCTCCTGTTTGCTCCAGCTCCGTGGCTGCCGGCCGCCATCTTGGTTGGGTTAATTTGCATATAGTCACTCTGATTGGCTGGTGGGCGTCCCTTAGAGCATAGCAAAGGTACGGTCAATTAGCATATTTGTCTTTTATTAGTGTAGATGTATTTTCTCTTATGGCACATCACAGACTTCTTGCACTTAGAACACTAGATAGCACTTCAGCACTATGCTTGGGGGGCCATTGCAAACAGCACAAAAACTTGAAAAACACAGCACTAAGTAGACCATGAAAAGGACTTGTTTATAGTATAATTGCTGGAATAGAAGCCTTTGTTCAACCTGGGAACAGGTATATCAGGCTACTTAAATTGTTTTTGCTGCTCTTTGCATGTCTACCAATGACCATGAAAACATAGCTGAGCAATGACTTTGGGGGTACAAACAAATTGTAGTGAGTAGGCGAATTTGCAAATATGGAGTCTGCAAATAATGATCAACTGTATATGCATGACTTTAGCCCCACCCATAAATTTAACCACACCCCAATTTCACTCTGCCTAACCAAGCTAAGTCCTACCCCTGACTCTGCCCACAACCCAACCAGTACCTCTGGTAATAGGTGTCTGAGCGTCCACAGGTGGCACCTGACTTTCGAAAAACCTCACGACGCTTCCAGCCGGGGCCCAGGGCTGGGCAGTCCAGCCACTCCTCAGCCATGGGAGCCACAGGAAGGAGCAGGGGCCTGTAACATGGAGGGGGCAATGGGAGAAACGGAGCCTGTCGGCAGGGACATGCTGTGCCCCAGGCCACGTAAACCACTGGTATCTATTAATACTTGTGCAAAACCAGCCACCTGCCACAGGCAACTGGCCAATATAAGGAAAAGAAACCCCCATTCCCACCAATTCTTCCCTGTCCTGGGCCCAGGTGCTTGCCATTCGTCATCCTCTAGACCTGGAAGCCCCATCCTCAACCCAAGGGTTCTCCCACCTCACTTTCAGTGCCCTGGTCCGTTCCTCCCCATCCTTCACCTGAGAGCCTGTCATTTCTCCCCACTGCCCACCTAGCAATCTTTCGCTCTTCCTCCTTCCTTCTCCCTGTCCTTGGCCCAACAGCCACTCTCTGTCTTGGATCTACTGGCTCTCTATTCCTCCCTTTGTCACCGCCATGCTCCCCCTCCTCAGCTCAAGAGGCCCCATTCATCTCGCCCTCGGGCTGCTTTCCTAGCCCTGGACGCCAGTGCCAATTCCCATCCGCTCCGCTGACCCAGGAGTCCCCGGTGTCTGTCCCTCCCTCCTTCCCTCCTTCCTTCCTTCCTTCCGTCTGACGTCCTCTGATCCTGCTCCCTCGGTGCTGCCTCGATTCCCTGTGTCCTCCTCCAGAGTCCCAACTCCTCCACATCCCCAACCTGAACAGCCCGGCTCTCAGGCCTTCTGTGCTCAGCCTGACCGTGTCCCCTCTTGGTCAGTGTTCGGAGCCGCACTCCGCCCGGTCTCAGCTCCGGGGGCCCCCCATTCCTCTCCTCGGCGGCTACGAAGCTCTCTCACCCCTTCCCTTCGGCGTGCTCGTCCTCGACCCCCCTCACCAGCCCCAGGACGCCGCTTCTCCCCTCGGCATTCTCAGCGCCCCCGCTGTTCCTGTCCCCGGACCGTGCTATCTCTGTCAGCCTCCTGACACCCTATCTCTCCTCGTCCTCCATGAGCTATCCTGTCCCTCCCTTTCACGATCCAACGCCCCCAGTCCTCTCCGTCATCCTCCTGAGCGGTCCTCGGTAATCCCCTCGGTTCTGCACCCCCCGTTTCTCTCTCTGTAACCGGAGAGGCCCCGATATCACCCCTCATTCCTCTAACTCCTGGTCCGGAATCCCGACGCCGCCACTGTCAGCGTCCGGAGCCCCAGTCCTCTCCGTCTTCAGCCTAAACCTCCCCATTCCATCCCCTCCATGTTCCGAAGCCGCCATTCCTCCCACTCATCGGCCTGCGGGCCTCCTCCGTCGGCGTAGCGAGCCTCACTGCTCCACACTCCGCCTGAGCGCTCTCCGCTTCCTCCCCCGATTCTCACCAGCTCGGCACCGGGCCGGTAGCTTTCACAGGTCTAGGTCCGCGGACCCATTATGAGGGTTCCCGCCTGAGGTTCCGGCCTTGCCCAGCTCCTCTTCTTCCTCCTCTGCAGCCGCTCAAGCGGTAGCTGTCGCCGCCGCGGCCGTTCGTTGCACCCGAGACCGGAAATCCGGGGCCCACCCCCAGGGTTCCGCTCCCCGAGAGACGCCTGCGCACGAATGCCCGGCCGGCGCTTGCCCTTAGTGGGGAGGACCGCGCGCCTGCGTGCTGAGTCCCGCAGCGGCGCGCGCCCCTGGCCGAGACCTGCTGCGCTTGCGCGCTGCAACCCAAGTACCCTCGCCTCCCGACCGGAGACCCGCAGCTCCAGCGCTTCACGCCTCGCCAGCCAGCGCGCTCTCCCCACTGCCCCCACCTCCTGTGCGCCTGCGCTCTGCAGTCCCAACCGAAGGGGGCGTGGAGGGTTGGGGCTGGGCCTGCGCTCTCCGGCTCTCCGTTGCCTAGGCGGTCTCCACTAAGCGTGACCGGGAGGGAGGGGCGAGCCCTCCGCTCCCACCTCTCTCCTAGGTCGCGCCTACGCTCTGCAGTCCCTGCCAACATCTCCCCCCACCACTGCGTCCCGCTCTCTCCCCCCGAAACCCGCTGAACAGTTGCAGGAGCGCGGGGAGGGTTCGGGCGCTCGGCCCCAGCTCCTTCCGCGGGAACTCGGGAAGGGGGCGGTGCCGCGCCAGAAGTAAACAAGCGGGTCGGGCCACCAACTGAAGAGACCTGGTCCATCCCGGCAAGGGCGAGCTGTGGGGCCCGCTGGACCGGACAACCGGAGAAGGCCGATGAAGTTCCTGGCACAAAGTTAGTGGGGTCCTGTTGCATACATACCCCAGAAATGGGGTTTATGAGAAAAGAGGGAGCCTTGTGTCCATCATTAAATACACCTGTGGTCTGGAGAGATTTTTTTTTTTTTAAATTGACTTGAGAGACACAGAAAAACATCTATTTGTTCTATTTATTTATGCATTCATTGGCCTTTTTTGTTAATCCTCACCAGAGGATATTTTTCCATTGATTTTTAGAGCGTGGAAGGAGGAAGGGAGAGAAACATCAGTGTGAGAGACACACGACAATTGGTTGCCTCTCACATTCCGAATGGAACCTCTGCTCCTTTGGGGTGCAGGCTGACGCTCTAACCCAGTGATTCTCAACCTTCTGGCCCTTTAAATACAGTTCCTCATGTTGTGACCCAACCATACAATTATTTTCGTTGCTACTTCATAACTGTAATGTTGCTACTGTTATGAATCGTAATGTAAATATCTGATATGCAGGATGGTCTTAGGCCCGTGGTCAGCAAACCGTGGCTCGCGAGCCACATGTGGCTCTTTGGCCCCTTGAATGTGGCTCTTCCACAAAATACCAACCTCAGCGCATGGCCCACGAAGCTTCAGTCGCACTGTACGTGCGCGCCCGCATGTGGTATTTTGTGGAAGAGCCACACTCAAGGGGCCAAAGAGCCGCATGTGGCTCGCGAGCTGCAGTTTGTCGAGTTGCAGTTTGCCGACCACTGTCTTAGGCGACCCCTGTGAAAGGGTCGTTCGACTGCCAAAGGAGTCGCGACCCACAGGTTGAGAACCGCTGCCACTGAGCAACTGGCCAGGGCTCGTTCATTTCTTGTATGTGCTCTGACTAGGGATGGAACCCACAACCTTGGTGTATTGGGACAACTCAAACCAATTGAGCTACCTGGCCAGAGCTGGTCTGGAGAGTATCAATGCTTACACAGTGGTAAATCAGCCACACGCTGAATGAGTGCTGACTGTATACCCACTGTCTCAAAATGAGAGGCTGAGAATGCGGGCCATTGGGCTCTCCCTCAGCAGGTCATATCCCCACAGCCCAAGGGGGTAACCTGCACCTAGTGGGTGCCACCTGTGTATGCTCACAGCCTACACACGTACTGGCTCATCTATTTCAGGAATTTGAGAATTCAGATGCAACTGAGTAAAGTTCGGAGACCAAAATTTGGTTATTCAAAATTTTATTAACAAAACCAGGAAGAAAGGAAGCAAGGGTGAGCAGACTGCACTGTCCCACCCAGGCATAAAGGATGAAGAAACAGAAGGATACAGAAAGAAAGGAAGAACGTTTGAGTCTGGTAAGGGTAGATGGGCAGTCAAATGATGGATGGGCACAAGGAGAAACTGAGAGACCACTGGAGAAAGACAAATGGGGGATTCCAGGCAGCTCCCCAGCCTGGGGTGAAGGCTGTGAGGACATCTGAGCCAGAGAGGCTCAACGGTCAGCACTGGAGCGAAGGTCGGTAGTGAGTGGGTCATGCTGGATGGTTTGATGCAGCATCAGGGCCAGTAATCCTGCCCGGTTTGTCATGGCTGTGCGTACATTGCGCTCCTGCTCAAACAGCTCGTCCAGCTTGTACCACTGCCAGAGGAGCAGAAGGAGCCCTGACATGGAGCTCTGGAAGACCCGCCTCACCCTGGCCACATCCAGCACCAAAACCTACCACGCGCACACGCTCCAGGTCCACTTCAGCACGCCGCAACTTCTCCCAGCAGTAATGGCGGTTGCACTGTCGCTTGGGCAGGCGGCAGAATTCACCTGTGAGCTCAAAGACATCACGTACAAGGGGGCACCCACATACCTCGTCAGCTGGCACCTGCAGGAAGACAAAGCATGAGGATGGATGGGGTGTGGTAAGGCAGGAAGGAGGATCAGAATGGGGAGGGGTCAGGAAAAAAGGGAGGAGAGAAGGAATGGAGAGTTCAGAGGAAAGTGGAGAGGTATGGATAAGGGGAGGAATCTATACTAATAAAAGCCTAGGTGGTCCTCATGCCCTCACACGCGACGTCGCCACAAGATGGCTGCACGCACAGCAGAGGCAGGGCCCAGCGGCCGCTCTGCATGGTGAGGCCTAGGGGTCCCGCGGCTCTGTGCGGTGCGGAGGCCGGTCCCGGCGTCTCCACTGCCTTGCGTGGAGGAGGCGGTTCCCGGCAGAGGAGGCAGGTCATGGCAAGGGAGGGCAGTTGTGGCCTTTGGGCCGGCAGGGGAGGGCAGTTTGGGGCAATCGGGCCGGCAAGGGAGCAGTTATGCGTCAATCAGGCTGGCAAGGGAGCGGTTGGAGGGTGATCAGGCTGGCAGGCAGAAGCGGTTAGGGGCAATCAGGCAGATAGGCAGGCGAGCGGTTAGGAGCCAGCGGTCACAGATTGTGAGGGGAATGTCCGACTGCCGGTTTAGGCCCGATTCCGCAGGGTCTAAACTGGCAGTTGGACATCCCCCAAGGGGGGTCCCAGACTGGAGAGGGTGCAGGCCAGGCTGAGAGACACTCTTCCCCCTGTGCACGATTTTCATGCACCGGGCCTCTAGTCCTATATAATAAGAGGCTAATATGCAAATTGACTGAACAGCAGAACCGCTATGACGCACACTGATCACCAGGGGGAAGACACTCAATGCAGGAGCTGCCCCCTGGTGGTCAGTGTGCTCCCATGGGGGAGTGCCGCTCAGCCAGAAGCTGGGCTGACAGCTGGCAAGCGCAGTGGCGGTAGCGGGAGCCTCTCCTGCCTCTGCGGCAGCATTAAGTATGTCCGACTGCCCACTTAGGCCCGCTCTCCGGACTGTGACAGGGCACAGGTTGGGCTGAAGGACCCCCTCCCCCGGTGAATTTCATGCACCGGGCCTCTAGTAGAGGATAAAGAGGCAGGAAAAGGGAGGAATAGGAGATGATGAGCCAGATGAATAAAGGATGATGGGAATTATGAAAGTGGTCAGGTAGGAAAGGAAGGAGGAGTGGGGGAGAAAGGGATGTAGGGCAGTGAGGAAGGGAGGATTGACAGAATGTGAGGAATTGAGGGAAAACCTTACTTTGGGGTCCCGTGAGTGCTCTGGGCACAAGACCTGGAGCCGCTTACAGTATGTCTTGCTCTGAGGATTGTAGACATCACAGAAGAGTCGTGTGGCCCTGGGGGTTTGGAGTAGAGAGAGAATAGTAAAGGGGGAGAAGGAAAGGGGACCATCTATCATGCCCATCATGATATCCTACCCCAACATTTTACTTCTCACCCCAGCATTAACCTACTTGCTCAAAGTCTGCATAGCACCCACACTCACCCTTCAATGCGTGTGGGGTACATGGACCCAAAGGACGTCTGGCTCTCATACTGAAAGGATGAGCACAAATGGAAAAAACTGTGGATGTGTGCTGCATGCCCTCCCAATACAGCACTCAGCATTGTCCCCCAAGGACCCACTGATGTTCCCACACCATCTGCCCTTTCAGGCTGACACCCTGACCTTGGCATAGCAGCGCTCCATGTGGCGCAAGGCAACACGTGGATTGATGGGGTGCCCGCAGGAGACGCAGAAGATCTGCAAGTCTGTGTCGTCACTGTCACCCTCATTGCTCTGCATGGAATGGAAGGAATGATGAGGCCAGGCAGGACCAAGTACTGGGCTCTGCAATGCCATGCCATGCTTGCTCACCTCCTCATCCTCTCGCACAGCCTGCTGCTTGGCACGCGCAATGATGGCCTCAAGCTCATGGAATCGGCGCTCCATTTCCTGAAGGCGGGTGCGGGCACTCTGCTGCTCACGGCGAATGCGTTCAAGGAGCTTCTTGCCGTGCTCTTCAGCAATGCAGGGGCTCTGCTGCCACTGCTGGATGCGCTGGGGGAGGATCTCGTAGATGCGGCTGCAGGAAGCAGTGATGCAGGTAGAAAGGTGGCAAGCAACAAGTAAGTGGGGTGAGCCAAAGATGACAGAATGGCTGGGTGACTAAATGGTGAAGATAAGTAAACAGGTGACCGAATGGGGGATGGATGAGTGGACAGGCAGGTGGGTGCTTGGTTGACTGAATGGTAGACAGGTAACTGGCAGACATACAGCGGGATCTTATCAAGCCCTGTCCTATACTTCCCCACTCCCTTGAACCCTCCAAGAATGACTCACTTGGCTGCCAGCTTCATGCCACAGTCATCTGAGCAATACTTGGAGGTGGGCTGTGCAGCGCGCACACAGCCAGGCCCCAGGCACTGCGGTAGCGATGCGGGATCCTTGACATCGGCTCGCTCCGGGTGTTTCCATTTGTCTTTGTGCTTCTGTTTCTGCCGATGCCGCTTATATCTCTCCTCCTTCTATGGGACAACGCAGGTCAGGATAGGGTAGAGTTGAAATCAGCCCCATACCCGTCTCCCCTGCATCCCACCCCTTTCTGGCTCTCAACCCATTCAGCCCCCTGCCCTCTGCCTTCGCACGCACGTTTCACCCTCTCCATCACCTTCTTCTCAGACTTCTTCTCCCGACGCTTTACATGCTTCACTTTGACTGCCCTCTTCCGCAGCGCAGGGTCCAAGAACGGGGACT